GTCCTCTGCCTCTTCTCGTCTCCAGGGCTGTGTGTACCTTGTCCCCTGGTGTCTCCTGGCCTTCAGGGCTGAAATCTGAGGATGGTGCAGCTGGTGATCTGTTCTCCCTTGGCTTGGTCAGATGATCACTTCCTGGCTGACTGAGCCCCGGGTTTGCTTCCGCAGGCTGGAGACTCCCCAGCACCCGCCACGGCCACACCCAGCCCCTGCCGCGGGGTCGCCTCACCTTGCCAGGGTGTGCGCCGCTGCGGAGTCTTTGCTTCTCAATCCTGCACCCCCGTCGGATAAAGAATGAAGGTAGCCTGGAAAAGCTAAACCCCAGGGCTCCCTTTCCACCTGACCTCACCGCCTGGCCCGGCTCACTTTGACGTGTCTGAGGTCTGACTGCTCTTGAAGATAATTCACCTTCAAGCACAGGCCTCCAGAAAAGAAATCAAGAGACACCACACTCTCTTCCTTCTTCCTCTTCTTCTACATCTTTCCATCATTTTCCAGGACAGAATATGGCCAGGCTTTTCTTTGACTTTTACCCGGCCCCTCCCCACCACTCCAGCTAAGCACGCAGGGGTCTCTTCTCTGGACTTTGAAAAGACTGTCTGAACAGAGGCCTCTAGGCTCAGTTATTAATTTGATAAAGGGAAGTAGAAAGTCCTTCTCAAGAAATAGCTTACAAGACAATAGTTTATATCAGCCTGTGTTTCAATCATGTATTGTTAATATTGAATATTACTTTGGTCTTTCTTTAGGCATTTCTCCTACAAAAATTATATTTAAATGCATGCTGACGGCAGAAGAGGCAAAGGTTTTGACTCAAGAAAGCAAAAAGAAAATTAAGTATTTTAAAACTTTATCTCCATTATAAAATTATTTAAGAAAAGAGTCAGCCTAAGTAAATACCTACACAAAACAGGGAGACCCAGGAAAGGGTGAACTGAGACTAGGAGGGAAACTTAATGAAGAGAATCAAGAGAAACCAGTGCAAAATTCAGAGAAAATCTGAGAGATACAAACTAAAATGTCCCATGTATTTGTCATCTGATACTTCTCTACACACTCAAGTTGCTTCAGAGAGAAATAAGTATGCTACCACAGTCTTCCTGCTATGGGCATAAAACTTTCTGCCCAAGATAAATAATCAAGACACCAATGTGCATAGTTTATTTCTCTACCATCCTGTTCCAGAAAGGATGCCAAGCAGCTGACAGGGAGAACTCTCACTCTACTGGAAAAATGAATGAAATATGATGAAGGAGCTTCAGAAAAGTTTCTTCTTTTTAGAAGCATTTAAAAACGTAAACTCTCTAGTTCACACAGAAAAAGTAGAATTATGAAAAGAACAAAATGTTGGAAATGATACAGCTTTGTAAAGAAGATAAACTGAAGTATGGAAGAAAATGATGATTTAATCAGAGAAGGTGCCGTGAGAGAGTGTGTGGGAAGTGACCGGGGCAGCACGAAGCTTAGGAAGATGACTCTGGAGGCTTCCAAGGGAGCAGGATGGAAGCCAAAGAGCCAGCAGCATCCTGGTCCAGGTAGGGGAAAAGGATAGTCTAAATTAAGGCAGCAGCAGTGGAATACACGTGAGAGGGGCTACAAAAATAAAACAAGCAAGACTCAACCAATGAGTGGACTAGGGACTGAAGGAAATGGTGGGGTCCATGAAGACTATGAGGCTCCAAGCCAAGCCAACTGCAGGAATGATAAAAACATGAGAAATGGAAATGGCCCACTTTCCATCTTGCTCTTAAAACAGAATGATGGTAATTTATTTTCCACATAGAAGTTTTCTGCTGTAACAATATCAATAGACTTAAAAGTAAAGAAGGAAAATTTTAAAAATTCAAAAATTTGTTCTGATTCAGTGTATTTAGCGGCAGTAAGAAACACTCTGATTTAGAACATGTTTGTCATTTCTTATCTTCAAAGGCTAAAAGAAATCAAAAAGACCACTGACTTAACCAAAAGTATTTGAATTTACCAGTGTCATCTCACATTGAGTTTATACAGCCTGTGGATTGCTTTATTTCTGCATAGTTATTTAAGTACTTTTTGCTTCAAGTGGTAGTTGAGTTGAATTCTGATGACCAGCTGAGTGTTTCTTGAAGTCTATTATTTCGTAGATATAATGTAAAGCTAATTATAGGCTGTTATCCAACAAGGTACCAGATTAGAATATTTGTATAATCAATGTTTGATTAACAATGATCAAATAGAGTGGACGTTAATAATATGCCTACTCAAACGTGTAAAAGAAAATCATAGCTTCCTTATTCCCTTTAACTGATCTAATCTTTTCCATTTTTTATTGAGATATAATTCACATCCCATGCCCCTTCAAGGTGTCCACTGAGTGGTTTTTAGCATGTTCACAAAGTTGGGCACTGTCTAATCCACGTCATTTTTGTCACCCCAACAAAGAAACCTTATACCCATTAGCAGTCACTGGCCACACTCCCCTCTCCCGCCCCTGGTAACTGCTAATCTACCTCCTTTCTGTATGTATTTGTGTGTTTTAGGTGTTTCATACCAGCTGGATCGTATATTATGCAGCCAACCAAACTGCCCCTATGAACTCCCACCCCATTGGGTGGCAGTAAAAATTTACTTTAGCTCAAATTTGGCAGTTAATCTCTCAGACATTTCTAGTTTAAGACAACTGAATTTGGGTAAAGACTCATTAAGCTTAAAGTATATTCGCTGACAGATTGTTTATCCCCTGCCGTCTTCCTTCCCAAGCTGATCTGGGCACAGGGGGAACATTAGGAGCCCTCCTAACAGTGATGGGGGTGGGGGGGAGCTGTCCTCCTCTGCTGGCCTCTGCGGGGTGACAGCCTGACAACACTGGGCACTGGATCCGTGCCCCTCAGGACAACTGGTCCCCACTGGACTCCTGACAGACGATGGCTTCCCTTACTGCTTGACATCTGAGCCCGACACTGCGACCCGCCATGCAGATCACTGTCCATGGCAGCCTCCTCTTGCCAACTCCTGGCCTCTGCCAGTCCACATCCTCTGTGTCCACACTGAGGGTGGGCCCGGGCCTTTCCCCCCACTGTACACCCTGCACCTGTCATAGAGTTTAGCATATAGTAAGCAATCAACAATATTTTTTGAATGAGTGAACAAATCCTTCAAAATTCAGCTAAAATATTATCTCTTCTGTAAGCCCTTCTTTAATGCTCCCGCCCCTCCTCCCCCTCCGCTGCCTGTTCTGTGCTCTCATAACAAGTGCGTCTTGCTGCCAGACGAGCATCTGTGGGCTGCGTTATAACTGCTGTGTGTGTATCATCTCTCACACGTTATAAATCATCTATCCCTCACTGCCCCGGTGAGGGGCTTCCCAGGGCCTCCCTCAGATCCTTGCCACGTAAAAAGTATGCTCGATAGACATTAAAAGTAATTGAGGCCGTGTCATTTTTAATTAGCTAGATTTTTCAAAAATAATAATATGCAAATTTTATGAAATAATCGTGTGGTACAAGTGGGTATAAAATGAAAATGAGTCTCCATTTGGCCCCAAACAGTTTCATGTAGGCTCCTGTTTATGGGAATTTAGGTTGCTCCCAGTATTTTGCTTGTCAAGTTTCTTTTTAAATAAGTACTTAAAGTACTGCATGATCGTCTGAGTTAGTAACGGAGAAAATTTACACTAGAGGTTTCTAAGAGAAGAAGCACAAGAAGGAATTAGAGGCAGAGAGAATCACATTTGCAGAATCATCTCTCAGAGGATGAAAACGCAAGGAGGGGCCTTGACCACTAGAAATCTGAATTCCATCCTGAAGCCAAGGACAAATCCCACTTAATCAGTTTTCTACTGAAATATAAGCATCTCAGCTCTCCAACAGGATTGAAATCTCTCCGATCGGAACTCGAGTTTTCCTCCACTGATGACCTGATACCACGTGCCTACGGATGACTTCTGACATAATTAAGACCCCAGAAAAAATAAATCCAGGCACTTCTGGGTGCAAGAAAACACAGAGATAGTGGTACTGAACTAAGAAGTTCAGATTTTGTGCTAAGTTGAAAAAAAAACCACATCAAATATTTTTTTTAACTGTTCTTTTCACATCAAAATTCCATGTGTTTCCTTAGAGGAGGTTTAGGGGAAAAGGAGAGGCAAGTAAGGCATTCTCCCTACTAAATTGGTGGGAAAGATTTTCCAGGGCAGTTTCCCTAGAACCAGAAGTGCCAGCAGTCAAACTAAAAGATGGGGAACAAAGGTTGAAGCTTTGAGAAGAAAGGCGTCCCAACAGAGGCCACAGATGGCCGTGGTTAGGAGCATGGGTTCTGAACCAAGCGGCCTGGATTCAGGCCACAGCTCCACCATCCCCTGTGTCCCTTGGACAGGTTATGTATATGCCCTTGGTCTCCTTGTAAAATGAGAACATTACAGGACCTACCGCTGGGGCGGTGGTGTGGCCTGAGTGAGTTGATACACGCTGAGGACCACTGGAGAGGGCTTCACCGTGCCCATCCCCGCCGGCACCCACCACTCTGACCACTCTCTGTTTCCCTCCGCTGAACGCTAGATGCTCGCCCCGTTCCACTGAGCCTCCTTGTAAGCATCACTTCAGGGCCTTCTGTGTTATCCCTCATCACCACTTCTGTTCTACCATGATTAGGAAATGAAGAACCCAAATACTACAGAGGTATTAATATTAGATAGAAAGACAAATTCGTTTTCATTTTTCTTCGCATAATGCTTTTCCAAACTCCAGCCCAATCAACGCCATCCTGCTCTAGGGCAACACCACCAGAAAGTAGTAAATCCCCCCAAACACAGAGGCAAGCAAGGCAAACAAGAAGGAAACTGCTCCTGGCTTCTCTCTATTGGCGGGTGACACTGCAGCCTCTGACCCGAAGGTCCAAGGATCTTGTTCTGAAAATGGGTACAAATCATACTGAGATTTGGCTCCTCTTAATGAGCAAAAACTTCTCTGAAAAAGAAAAGACTATACCATTTAACCGTCCTGTCAAGTTCTACAACCCTGGCTAAATTCTGGAAATAAACGTCATTGAGGGCAGGAGGCAAGCACCTTCGTGAATTACTTCAAGCAACCTGCGGAAGCACGATGCCAGCCAGCACTCTCAAAGGCCTCATTGTGAGCGTTTGTGCTCGGAGGCTGCTAACTGCTGGCCTCCTTCCATCCACCTCATGCAAACACAACACCATATTTGCCTCTCGGCTGTCACTATGTGTTAGGGGCCTATAAACAGAGAAGATCCTTTCTTAGCAACCACCGTGAGAAAGGAGAACCCTCCCCTCCCCTCCCCCTCAAAACAAGCCTGAAAGGAGGAAAGAAAGGAAAAGGAACCTTACACAATCAGATGTGAAAGTCAAAATGACAATCCAATATGGAAAGTTTCAAAACTGTTGGCTGCCTTTGGCTTGGGGGCAAAAAAAAAAAGAAAAAACTCTCAAGAAGCTTTCAGAAGCCAGCTGCCAACAGATTAAAGGCGACTAGAAATGATCTCACCGCCATGTGTAGACGTCTGGTCACATGGATATCTGCAAGATAACCAAGAATAATCCAGTTACGTTATTCGGCTGCATTTCCTTGGAGACTGCTTTGGGCTTCATCTTGCTATTTTTAGTCTTCTGTGTCAGACGCCATGGGAAGCCATCACCAAGGCAGTTCAAGAACTATATGTTTATCCAGAACAGGTAAAAGTTCTGGAAATCAAAATCACTGAAAAAGCAGCTGGAGGTCAAAACATTCAAGGGATTCTGGAAAGGAGGAGCAGTGGGAAGACAGGGGTGGTTTTCTGTTGACAACAGCAGACCAGCCTGTCCTGATGCTACATTTCAGCCCTGATGGATGCTGTATTTTAGATAGAGGATTACAGAAAATTGTCCTATCTGTAAAGAAAGCAGAAACCTTGACCTTAAAAAAAAAGAATACTGCAGAGGATCTGTGTGGCCATTGGAGCTTTCAGGAAGTTTAAAATGTTTCTGGAGTTAAATCAGTTCACTCTTGCCGGCCTGAGAACAGCCAGTTTGGAAAACAGGACTTGTAGGCATGGAAACAAGGCATCTTGGTAACAAAACTCATTACAGGGTTTCATGGAGAAAAACTGTGGAGAATCCTCAAGGGGGGGAAGGACAGATCTGGCACAATTCTGCAAGGCCAGACAGTATGAAATTTACAATGAGGGTAACTAAAGTATGCTAAGCTCCAGTAATTGAGTGGAAAGAATTAAACTTTCGTGAGCCATGACCCTTCAAGTGCTGCCTGCCTGCAAATATCAGGGTTGCTAATAATCAAAGCAATGAAAATAAAAGACACCCAGAAGAAAGTATTTTAAGCCTATATTCCCATTATGTCCTTGAAGACATAGGACAATTCAGAGACTATGCAGAACTGAACTCTCATGAATATTATTTCAAAACCAGAAAATGTGAAAATACTGTAAACAGGAAGCTTTTATATCGAGTGTCAACTTTCACGCTGTCTCATTTTGATCTTCACAGCAGCCCTTTGATAAGGATGTTATCTCTGCTGCATCACAGATGAGGAAACCAAGGCCCAGAGGAGCTGAGGTCGGTAAGCAGCTAAGCCTGGCTTCCGACCTCAAGCCAGGACTGCCTCTCCCCTTCCCCCGGCCTCCATCCTGCGGGTGCTGTGACTTAGGTAAGGCTGCACTGACACATCTGGGTATAACCAGGGACTCCTGTGGTGCTGGTACTCCCCCACCAACAAATGCCATTGCAGGGGTCATAGTAAGTATTTTCACCATAAAAATGGGAAACTTTGCTGTATAGTGTGTTTGTATCTTTTAAAAGCTCTTTTTCTTGGTCACAAAGTTTTTCCTTCTGTTTTCTCTTCCTCTACCTCTTCCTCTTTTCCCCCTTCCTTCTCCACTTTTACACACTCACCTTACACTGGAGCCCACGCACTCTTCTACACTATTGCCCTGTGCGGGGGAGCTCGCAGGAACATAGTGAATACTTGCCAGTGTATTCACTATGGCCGGTGGCACCTCAGGGACCACCCCACCCACAACCTCTTACTCACCCAGGGCTTCCACCCTGTGCTCAACTCCGGCTGCTGCGTTTGCTGACACCTGATAGTAAGGGCAGTGGCAGGCAGCATCAAGGCCTACTGAGCAAACTGGAGAATCAGGCCACTGCCAACTTCTCATGACCTTTGGTATCCTAGGAGGCCCTGTTAACATGGCTAGAGTAACAGCGGAAAGTAGAAAACTGAGTGGAAAGCATAAGAGGTCAGTAGATATGGTCCGGCTCAATTTGGCTGCCCAGCCTTTGAAATAAATCTACAGGTGGAGCTCTGGTCTAAGGACAGCAATATGACCATGTATGATTAGAACTATTGCGGAAATCACCACACTGCAACTCCCCTACATACAATTCTTCATCACTTTTTTTTCCTTCTCCATTCTTCCCCTGTTGTAATTTAGAGAATTAAGAAGTAGTCTTTTCCTGCCAGGAAACTAAACGTGTTCCTTTTGTTAACCCCAGCTACAGTGGGTTAAAGTGTCCCCTAGTGACCTGAAGAATATGAGTTTTCTTTCCTAAGTATCCAATTTAATAGAACATAAGAGATGAAAAGGAAGAAGGAGATCTAAAAACTACTTTGGTCGCTAGAACACAAAAATTCTTGAGGATTATTTGTAACATACATAATTTTTTATATTTGTAACCATTCATTTACATGAATTTACATTTTAAGAAAAATGTGATATGACAATACCAAATATTGGGAAGGATGTGAAGTAACTGAAACTCTCATACGTTTCAGGTAGGAACACAAAATGGTACAACCACTTAGAAAAACCATTTGTCAGTCTCTTAAAAAGTTAAATATACCATCGTCCTTAGGAACCAGTCAGTCCACTCTTAGGTATTCACCCAAAAGAAATGAAAACATAAGTCCACACAGTTATTTATAAGTATTCACAGCAGCATTATTCATAATAACCCCAAACTGGAAACAACCGAATTTTTCATCAACACCAATAGATACACAAACTACGGAATCCATCCAATAAAATACTACTTAGGGTAAAAAAAGTCAGGGGATGAGGAGGGGTGAACAACTGATACAACAGGAGTGAATCTTAAAATCATTATGCTGAATGAAAGAAACCAGACACAAAAGAGTTCATACTGCGTGACATCATTGGCATAAAATTCTAGAAAATGTGAACTAAGTCCAGAGTGACAGAAAAGAAGGTGAGTGGTTGCCCAAGGCCAGGGAGAAATGCTGCAGCACAGCCTACACTGAATGACATCCCCCAAAATAAAAAGCACCGGGCCCAAACCTCAACAGTGCTTAGCTTGAGAAACCTTAGTATGACCAGCCAAAAAAGAGAAAAGATTCAAATCATGAAAATCAGGAATGGAAGAGGAGGAGACATCACTACAAGCCCTACAGAGAGTAAAAAGATTATAAGGGGCTGTGAATAAATTTATGCTAAAAATTACGCAATTCAGATGAAATATGAAGATTTACAGAGAGGTACACATCAAGAAAACTGACTGAATGAAAAGGAAAAAACATGAATAGACCCATAACAAGTAAAGAATTTGAATCAATAATTGAAAACCTTCTTTCAAAGAAAAGACCAGGCCCAGATCTCTTCACAGGTTCGTGCTATAAAATAGTTAAAGGACGAACCACACCACTGCTTCCTGAACTCTTCCACAAAATATGAGAGAACGCTTCCCAACCAATCCCATGAGGCTAGCATTACTCTAATACTGAAACCAGACAAAGACATCACAAGAAAACTACAGACTAATATTCTTCATGAGTCTAGATGCAAAAATCCTCAACAAAATGTTAGCAAAATGAACCCAACAACATATAAGAAGGATGATTCACCATGACCAAGTGGGACTTCCCCCCAGGAATACAAAGTTATCTTAATATCTAAAAGTCAGTCAGTGTAAAATCACTTTAATAGAATAATATGAATGAAGGACAAAAACCACATGTTCGTGTCAACATATGCAAAAAAAATCATTTGACAATGCCTAACACCCACTCATGATAAAAAATCTGAAAAACTAGAGATGGAAAACAATTTCCTCAACTTGACAAATAGATTCTACAAAAAATGTGTAGCTGGCATCATACTTATTGGTGAAAGACTGAACGTTTTCCCTCTAAAAGTTGGTCAAACATACTGTACGACCACATTTATGTAAAAAGTCCAGAAAAAGGAAATCTATAGAGACAAAAAAAAAGGTACTGACAAGTACTATTTTATCCTAGATAAATGTAGTTTTCCTTTTTCAAGCTGTTTGTCGACTTCTGACTAAGCGCCTCTCTGGCCCCAGGATGGTTCTATTTTTCCAGCAGCTCATCTCTGGTGCCAAGGAGCAGGCACTGGGGAACACTCCCTCTGTGTGCAGAGGGATGTGTGGTTCCCTCAGAACCAGAAGGGGCTTAGCTGCAGGAACACAAGCAAGAAACACTGAAGAAAATGCTTTGAAGGCCCAAAACCTGAATTTTATCACTCAGAGGAAGAGGCCAGGCCTAAGGAAGCAATGTCACTTCAACAGGAAAGTATTGCTCTGGAATCAGGAGTGATAGAACCCTGCCTGTAATGGCAGTGCCTTGCAGGAAAGTCCCTCTGTCATCACACCACTTGATAAACAAGCCACACAAAGCCTCTTGGCAACTGCAGGCATTTTCAACACATAAAGAGGAAAAAAATGGCATCTAGTCAGACGGGACTATTGAGAGCAGAAACACTGTTACCTGCGAGCACGTGGCCCTGTACTCGGGATGTCATGAGCGCTCGGTCGTCACCATGTGGACCCACCGCAAGTCCGTTCAGCATCCTCACGTCACGTAGGGCACGGCAAGCTCTGGAGGCCTGGACGCCCCGGTGGACAGAGATGTTATCTTCCATCAGCACATCTTTCTGCATTTCAGCTGCTGCAGTTACTGCCTGCTGTCCTTCCGGGGGATCACTTTGCAGCCATGAACTTACTAAGGGGCAGAGGACCTAGAAAAAAAGGATTCGAAGCCTGATCCGTTCTGTTTAAAAGGCAAAGATTTCAAAATATGCCTAATCACTAGCATAATCTACGTGAGTTCCCAGGACTGAAAAGGATGACAGAGACATTTATCACAAGGAGGGGAGAAGGGTGTCTGGAGGATGGATCCAGACACAACAGCAGGGCCTGTGTAGAAAAGTTGCTGATCCTGAGCCACGTGTGCAGCTGATGCTCCAGCCACTCTGTCGTGTGTATGTGCTAAAAGGCAAATGGCTACACATGGTCAGGAAGAGATGTTTCACCAAGATCTGTAAGGCTTAGGACCCAAGGAGTTTTGTTACAGGATGTTCTTGGCTGAACATGAGCTTGAGGGACCACCGGGAGTAAAAAGTCTATTCCGCCCCCTTGGCCACCCAAAGAGAGGCAGAGATGCTCGTGACCAGGAAGACCTGAGTGTGCAGGGGCCGGCCTTACAGGGCCTGAAGTGCTAGCCTCGGCTCAGAGTCTCCATCTTCCAGGAACCTGTGGGTCTACCTGTCATGCAGACGCCATCACCTAAATACTGGTACCACTTGGAGCAAAACACAAGCAGGTGTTTTCTCATCACTGGTATCTGGGCTACCTTCAGGTTGAAAGGAAGAGACCAAGAAAGAGGATACTGGGCAGATTGACCCTATTGTGTTGGGAATTGGCGTCTGAGGAAAGAGACCCAGACCCATCGCAAAAACGGGAAAATTAGAAAACTGGGAGCATGTCCTGCCCCACGCTCTCCGAGTGGCATGGGCCCTGCGGCGTCACTGTCCATGTGCTCCTGCAGCACGTCACTGCCGGCAGGAAAGGAGGGGTCAGGAGGACGCGTAAACCGGGGGAGAAGGGCACGGTCATCTCTGTGCTGGGCGTCAGTACTGACTTCCCATGGAACCTCATCTACATGGAAACTCACATTATACCAATTAACTTTCAACACTGCATACCTGAAGTTTAGGACTTTAATTCTTGACTCATTCACAAGTACAGTCTGTGCTTAGCTGGTCAAATAGCACCCCCCCCCAAAAAAAGGAACGTATTTGCTTTCCAGTTTGGAAAGGAATGTGTACTTCATCCACAGTGGTCTTATTGTCTTATATATCATGTTTGCTCAGTTTTAAGCTTTTTGCTCAGGGACTATAAGATGGGTTTAAATAAAGAGGAAATTGGATTCCATCAATCAATACACTAAAACACAACCAAGATTAGATGACATAAGGTTACACCATTTCATCACTTGTAACTAATATTGTCTGTGCAGGCCCCTTCTGAGAAAATATTTATGTTATGTTTCATTTCCTACAAAGAAATTCATCTTCTGGCTTCCCCACAAATTAAAAATTACATAGTGAGTTAGGGAAAAAGAGAAAACTATTGTAGTCCCATTGACTCATTTTAAAGTGAACTTTACCATAGAAAAATATACTTCCATCTAAATAGTCAGAAAAAAAATTGATTTTGAAGCTTTCTATTTTTTTCTTTAGAGAACTACAGTTTTAGGCCATGTACTCACTCTTTTGCTAAAATCAAAGTTCAGTACTAATATTTAAATCAGGAATAATTAAAATGTCTGATGCATACTTTTTCTTTTTCACTAGAAATGCTCATTTTTCAGATCAGAAGGGATAATGTTTT